TCGGCAGGCCTGCCCGCCAGACACTTCCTGATGTCCTCTTCTCTCTTTTTTTCTACCATTAGTTCCCTTCTTGTTTAAATGTTTTTATTATGTAGAAATTGCGTTATCTATATTTTATTGTGTTATTTTATGCTGTTAGCCGCCTAGAGTGGTCTTAACCGACCAGATAGGCGGGATATAAATAAAATAAAATAAAATAAAATAAATAAATAAATTCAAAATAAATAAATAAATAATGAATAACGAATATAGTACTCTGCACCAACATGTATTATAGGCCCTAATGAATGGACCCAGCATTACAAGGCATTATTCTCGTATTCTAACCCCCAGGACATCCAGATAACAGCAGCTATGGAAAATCTCCCCTATTGGCCACTAGCCTCAGTAAAAGAGGTGGAAAGTCTTATTCAGCAATTGAAAAATAACAAAGCACCGGGACTGGATTTTTTGCCTCCAGAACTCATAAAATCTAATATTAGGTGGTTGGCACCCTTGCTAGCAGCCTTGTTCTCATTTATTGATTGAACAGGCATGCTACCTATAAGTTGGGGTACATCTATAATAGTCCCTACATATTAAAAATGAGCTAAAAATGATCCTGCCAATTACCAGCCAATCAGCTTATTGAGTGTAATAAGCAAGATCTACGGCAAACATCTCTGTAAAAATTAATTGACTGGATCCAGGATGAAAATATCACAGCAATAGAGGAAGGAGGATTTAGTCAAGGACGATCCACCCTAAATAATTGTTTCGTACTAGCCCACCTGATTGATAAATATGTTAAGAAGAAAAAGGGCATGTTATATGCAGCATTTATTGACCTTAATTTCTTTCTTCTGTAGTTATTTGTTTTTTAGGGCTTTTGGGCTTGTTTTAGGAAAGGAAATTTGATTTATTTCTGCTTAAACTAGTTTTCTCGTTTTTCTGAAGGCTAAAAAATGGCCTTAATAATCAGTGAAATACTTAAATTTTAAAAGTACAAGAGGAACTGATGAAGAACTGAGGTTCCTTTCCCCTTGCAACTTTTTCCTCAATATCAGTTTCCAAAGTCACCTTTAATTTTGCAGGATGGGTGTACCCATGAAAACAAAGAGGCTGGCATTGACCATTTGTAGGTCATTGCTTTCATTCCTAGCTGTGGTGCTCTTTATAACTGGCTGTGAAAGTCTTGCTCAGATGGGTTGGCAAATATATTGCTTCACTGAAATATCTGATTATATGTAAGAGTATTTCTGTACCATATTTCAGTTTAACCTCTCAAGCAATTTATACTAACAAATACTGTAAAATCAGAAGCTGAAAGATTAAATAGTAGAACAGGAAACAAAACAGTAAAATCCATAAAAGCAGTTAATCTAAAAACAGCATTATTAAATTAGGAAATTAATCGGGAAAACACCTGTGTAAAAAGGTAGACCTTTATTTGTCAGAAACGTGAGTGTTCCCAATTTCGAAATGTAGACACACTTGGTAAGAGATGCTTTTCTCTCCCTTCCCTCTTGTTTTCTGGAGTAGGAGCTGCAAAATTGGTGGTAGCGGTAGCTGTGTTCTTGTTGACGTTTTATGTCATCTCTCAAGTATTTGAAATAAAAATGGATGCCAATCTAGGAAACCTGTTTGGTAAGTGAGTTATTTCTGTTGTCTTCCTCACATCGTTCCATTTAGAATTGCTTTGCTTGACTGTGTGGTCCTGTACCTGTCCACACAGAAGGAACTCCCAGTGAGTTCTGGTGGAGCTTCTGCTCAGATGAATCAGTACAGGATGGCAGTCAGAGTAGATTGCACATGCCATCCCTGTGCTGTAGGAGAATCTTTTCTGGGTTTCCATTCTCTCATTTTAATAATGGTATTAGAGATGGGCATGACTTAACTCATGTCCCTTTGTATTAAGATCTCCGTGGGACACCACAGGTGTTGCACGTTCCCTCCCCACACCTCCCGGACAGCTGCCCCACTCACAAGCCTCCGTGAACCACCCAGGTCGTCCTCCGTTGCCGGCTGCAGTGTCCAGAAAGGAGCTCAGGCTTCCTTTCCCCACCTCCTCTGGCAGCCAACCACTCAACGGCTGCGCAGGGAGAATTTGTAGGCAGTTACCCCATCCAGCAAAAGAACTGATCTGTAGTAACCATATATTGCATTTAATCTCCTATTTTACAGATGTTATGTGCTAGCGACATCAGATCTCAGAGCAAAGCAATAATTTTCAATCCTTCCTGTCATGTGTTAGGCACTAACATTTAATGAGGCAGTGAAATAATTAAGGAATGATAACAGTATTTTAAACTTTTTTTTATTACAACTTTCAGCAAGATCACCTCTGGACCTACCTATACGTTGTAAGTATTGTGATGCACTTTTTTGTTTATGTTGTTTGTATTTGATGTTCTTGTTAGACCCAGAAGGAAGCAGTATAAGGTCTATTGGCCATGTCCAGTCCACCAGGGCTTATTCTTTTCCCCTCTTCCAGAAAGAGCAGTCCATGATGCATCACCCCACATAGGTAGTATAAAGGACTGTGGGCTGTGTGAGCCAGAAAGCCTTGGTGGGCTGGTTATGGTCCCTGACTCTTTGGTTACATATCTTTGCTGAAAGTCCTTCAGGCAAAGAGTGGGAGGAAAAATCTTTCATCTAAAGATTCAAGAGGTGGAAGAGGATCAAAGGAGGGTCATGCGCTCTTCCTTGTGTTTTTGTCTTTGAAGGTGTTTCAACTTCTAGACCCATCCCAGAAGAACATTTATTTAAAGTTGGAATTTTTAACATTTGCTTTGATTTGTATCACTGCTTCCCAAAAGGCAAGGAGGTGGTAGACCTGGGGCAAGTTGATCTTCAGACCTGCATTTTTAAAAAATTCTGACTAGTGAAAATCTAATGTTTTCCCTCTGGTCCAGAGTGATGTATGCTGGTTTCCTATCTCTGCCCTCATGCTCCTCTCTCTCTCTCTCTCTCTCTCTCTCTCTCTCTCTCTCTTTTAAAAGTATACACAATTTTAATGAATTGGCTCAGTCTTAGGAAGGCCTAGGACAGTGGGTCTGAAGCACTCTGACAGATGCTCTAGCTATATGGTTCATAAAGTGTATCATAGAATCATAGAATAGTGGAGTTGGAAGGGGTCTATAAGGCCATCAAGTCCAACCCCCTGCTTGATGCAAGAATACAAACACAAGATCAGGTCTTCTGATGTTATTGTAGATATTAATTGACACATGGATCCTAGAGGGACAGTGACAATGTGAAGGGCACAGACTATTCGTACTTGTGAAGTGAAATGGCCAGTGGTCAGCTTCACTTATCATTTACCACCTTCCCACTTTTGTATAACCTCCAGAACATGAAGGGTGTGGGGAAGCACTAATGATACACAAACATTCACAATAACAAGGGTTTGCATATATCTGTAGCGTTAAGCATTGACCAGACAGATTTTAAATTACTTTTTAACATGACTTTGTAGCCGAAGAGGCTCCTGGAGGAGTTAAAATCCAACATCAGCAAAACCCAAGACAGTCCCTGGCCCCACACTTGCAATCCAAAAAGAAAAATGGGAGTGGAGGGAGATGGTGGAATTGGGTAGGAACAAACATATCTGTAGTTGATCTCCTACCATTTGTCGAGATGAGTTTTTACTGTTTTCCAAGATAAGGATGCAGCTTATCAGGCTTCACAGAACCATTCTTCAGAGCCTTTCCCCACCCCCCTGGATAGTTTAAAAAAACAAACAAACAAACAACAAGAGCCATCCTACAATACATCTAGATATGAAGTGAAATGGTTGTGGATTCTATCTGTGCTCTCAGGAGTGATCAAATTAATCAAATCCTCCATTCTTTCTCACTTAAATAGAACATCTGACATGATATCATGGGGTTTTTTAAAATGAAATGTATTTCTTCCTTTTCTGAAGCCACGAAGCCCCCAAGATATAAATGTGGTACTACAAAAGCCTGTCCGGAGAATCATTTTGCTTTCAAAATGGCAAGCGGAGCAGCAAATGTAGTTGGACCTAAAATATGTGTGGAAGATAATGTGTACGTATGAGTTTTATTTGTTTTATATATTTGTGGTGCTGGACAAATTTTGTACATTCCTGAATAGAAAATGTTTTTTTCCCTGTGAACATAATAAGGAAGCAAATGTTCCGTACATCCTGATCTTGTTGCTAAATTTCTGTGGCCGGTAAATTATACATAATATATACAGTATATTTATCTTAGATTATAGTTGCATAATTTAGTCATTCATCTGAGTTCTTACTTGTTTGGTCCCCCCCTTTATTTCCCTTTATTTCTGAAGAGTGGGTGTGGGTAGTGAGAGGATGGTTTCTGTTTGAACCACTGCCCAGAGTAGTGGATTTTCACTAAGTGGAGGTGGTTTGAAAATGTCATTAATTCATTCATTATGAGTGAATTGTATTACTATAATAGAATTCATTTTGGATCCTTGGGATTCTTGTCTCTTTTCTTTTATCATACATATGTGGCCATCTTATTTCTGTGCAATTTGATTTAAGGGTGTTGCCCAAAAACCCATTGGACTGGAACCAGTGTGTCCCTCCATGACCACTAACAGCTCCTGTTTATGCAAGGAGCTGAGACATTCCCAGCAGAGCAGGGTGATCGCAGTGAGGCCACAATTTAGTTTTCAGATGTGCCAGCCTGTGGCTTTTACCCCTGCGCGTGGAGCTAAAATAAACGGGCATATTAATTTTCTGAGGCAGTGTTTGTTGCACCTTAGGAGACTGCTACTGCGGATATTACATAAGTAAAAAAAACGAGTTTAACTTTATTTAAAAATGAATTTTTAACTCAAAGATCCCCTTTCTTGGCCACCTTCCAATACTGAATGGAAGTTTACTGTCCTTTAATTCTGAATTTCAGTTGCTATTTTTTGTTCTGATCTTTGGCTAGGATGAAGAAACTTAAAAGTAATATCCTGCTGCTCCCTTGTGGCAAATCTGTAACATTACATTAGTGTTCCTCATGGAACAGATAAATAGATATTTTGAAGATCTATTTGGTTCCCAGTTGCCCTGTTGCTGGAGTGTTCTGATAGTTTAATCACCCATTATTGACATCATGTTGCATGTTAAAATTTAGACTGTGTTAACCACAGACTGTAGTTAGCAGTGGCTTCTGTGTCCGTGAAACAGCATATTGCAATAAACGTTTTAGTTTTAATCATGCCACGTGACTATTATTTTGCTATATTGTGCAAATAAATAGGGATATATGCTCACTGTAAGATTCAGTTGGGAAATTGATTCATTGGTTTGGATAGCACCCTGATCTTACTTAGATTGATTTGGAGAGCCCATGAAATCGATGGAAGAGAACAGCATTTCCCTGCTTGTTGAAATTGATTGAATATCTCAGACATCATATTCCCTTATAAGGGGATAAGGTTGGTCAGATTTCAAACAGATCATATTCCCTTATAAGGGGATAAGGTTGGCCAGATTTCAAACAAATAGATACCGTGCTGCCCTGAAAATAAGACATATATTAATTTTTGTTCCAGAAAACGCATTAGGGCTTATTTTCAAGGGATGTTTTATTTTTATTTTTTATGTACAACAGTTGACATTTATTCAGTTACAGTCATGTCATCTTCTGATTGCTGCACAATGATGGAGGGCAGGGTTTCACTTAACTGAGGCTTATTTTTGGGGTAGGGCTTATATTACGAGCATCGTATATAAACTCATATTACGAGTATGAAAATCATACTGGGGCTTATTTTCAGGTTAGGTCTTATTTTCGAGGAAACAGGGCACAGAGGTGTATGTGCCATGCACATATAGAAACAAATTGTTGCCAAAATTGGATGATGTTTGCAAGAATAATTGCCCTCTCTGAGGAGATCAAGCTTGTAGAGTTTCAGAAGAATAGGTGAAGATTATTTAGAAGAGATGTGATAGGAAGACCTACAAAAATTCAGAAGGAGAAGTCAGTCGTTTCTGGAGGTGTGTGTGACTTGCTTCCCCTTACCATGTTATTTTTGGCTATTTATATGAAAATGACATGCCACAAACATGTTTCAGAAAGATAGCAGAAGAGGTCAGGAAGTGAAAATGAATAGTTTCACACCCTTTTTTGCTTCTGCTTAGTTGGCACCAAAATGGGGGAAAGTTCACTAGGACAGTGATGAATGTAGAACGTACGGCAGCAGAGATGAAATTGAGCATCCAGCATTTTTTAGGGAAGCACCTAATACATCATCCTTCCAGGATGTACATACTCCACTGGAATGCTTCATATTCCTTTTCTTGGCACAGAGAATGAGTGAAAAGCACTAAACACTGGATCAATCGATGATGTGCTCTTTGAACATCTCTTCCCCAAAGTAACTGGGACTGGATTGGAGTAAAAGTGAGAAATTAGAACTTAAAATTAAAACAAATGACAGCTCCTTTTCTTGCCATCCCTTGTTGTTTTGCTTTTGGACAAGTATGACAGCGGTTGAAGACTCTGGTTGCTGTGTCCTTCCAAATTCAAACTCTATTGAATCTTTTAAAAATGGTAGGATTCCTATTTAGTCTGCTTCAAATGACTCCTGCTTCAGTGAATCTACTCTGATTAGCCCAGTTCATTTGTAGATTAGGAATTAATGTACATCTGAAGCAAACCCCTAGCAATGCCAGGGCAGTCTTCTCAAACCAGTGCTGTTCAGATTGGCCATGTTAGCTGGCACCGAGGACAGTTGCCTCCAAACCACTGGTGAGCACCATTTTGGAAAAGTCTGGATTTGAATACTGGAAGTGCTGAACAAGAATCAAGATCATGTTTTTAAAAACTGCTTATCATTTTAATGAATTCTGCTGTTCCATGCAAATACATCTGTTACTAAGAATGTTTTTCTGCAAATAAATTTGCAGTGTGGCTGGAAGTGAGTGAAGAGAGAATGCAGCTGCCTCTGATAATTAGAGAATGTTACTCTCCTAGAAATGGAGTGTGAGCTTGATTAATTAATGTGGTGTGTCTTGCAGTTGTGCTAAAACTCTATACTGTGAAAGCAGTTAGAAAGAAGTCTTACTCCTCGCTCTGGGAATAACTTGTTTGTATGGATTCTCTGTTTGCAAAGCAGGCTCTGGACCACAACTGTGTATTTGGTTTAGTAGGTCTGAGTCTCTTTACCTAATCTGTTGAACTGTCACCATGTTTGCCAAGTGATAATTGAATGTGATTGAGACAGAGAAAGTTGACAATTGCTATAGCTGTCTGTTGTGCCGATTTCACTAAGGCAAGTCAGGGCAGCTTATAGAAGAAATTGTCAGGTTTCCTAAATTATGTTGTTGGCAAGAATTCTGCCTTCACTACGGCTTCTTTTAGAAAAACCTGTAGAGAAGGAAGCTTGTCATTGTTTTCTGTGCTTGTTTTCTTCTGTTCCAGGTTGATGAGTGGAGTTAAAAACAATGTTGGGAGAGGCATTAATATAGCTTTGGTAAATGGTAAGTAACTTTGTTAATTATATCAGTGCTGTAACTTTATAGGAACAGTATACATCAGTTATTTTGAGACGTGTAGGCTGATATTCTGTTCTCATATCATAGCTTTGAGATATCATCAGCAGAGGGTGATTTTTTAAACATTTCCTCCTTTTGTCCCAAGGCTCCTGTGGCTTCCATGTAAATTGCTTTCATATGAAGAAGCCATGGGATCCACAGGGAGAAAAAAGTATGTAATTACTGAAAATTGCTACTTTCTTAATGAGTTTACCATCATCAGCCTTACTCAGGCATATATGTGTAAACAAGACTTCAACTGTCATATGAATGTTGTTAAGGAGAATTAGTTGTTATCAGATAATTTAAATAATGAGATCTAGCTAGAAGCAGCCACACTTTTATAAACCCTCAGTGTGATAAGTGGGATCTAAAACTAATAGCTACTGCTCTTCTTTGATGCTCCTTGAGGATATACTGTTGCATCTTATTCCATCTGGTTCTTTGTTTTTCACTTCTAAATAGTTCAGTCAGCTTCCTGTGTCTGCTGTTGTGAATTTTTCAGCATGCTTTGGAGTTAAATAACTTGTGCCTGTAATTCTAAAGCGACTTACAAGATGAAAGAAGTCTTACTTGGAACATAAACTTCTTAGTGGACATACTCAAGATATACACGGCATATCATGTATTATTCCTTTTTCTAGGGAAAACAGGGGAAGCCATGGACACAAAGTACTTTGATATGTGGGGTGGAGGTAAGTACAAAAATTTTTATCTCTAAATGTGAACTCTTTTTTTACCTTTAAAATTCAATACTTTTGACGGGTCTACATCCCTGGATTGTTTGGCAGACTCAAATGTGAGATCTTTGTAAATGATCAAACTATTACATACAGTGGTGCCTCACACAACGATGTTAATTGGTTCCAAAAAAATCAACGTTGTGTGAAACATCGTTCTGTGAAACACCATTTCCCCTAGGAATGAATTGAAAACCGGTTAATCCGTTCCAATTGGAACGGATTGCCATCGCTGAGTGAAAATCCCCATAGGAAACATCGCTGTGTGAAACAATGTTTCCTTCATTGGAATGTATTGAAGCCGACTCAATACATTTCAATGGCTTTGCGAAGTCCTTTTTCGCTCCTGTAAAAGTGTCTTACAATGTTTGGAAGCTGTTTTAAATTATTGCAATGGTTAGTCCACCTCCTGAAACCTATGCAAACTGATTTTGGTGTTGTTCTGACACTTCGTTAATTTATGATGATTTTTTGTTTTTTCCATTGGAAACCATTGGATGGTCTGTCTAATGGTTTCCAATGGAAAAAACAAAAAATCATCATAAATTAACGAAGTGTCAGAACAACACCAAAATCAGTTTGCGTAGGTTTCAGGAGGTGGACTAACCATTGCAATCATTTAAAACAGCTTCCAAATATTGTAAGACACTTTCCCAGCAGCGAAAAGGGAGACCGCTCTGCGATTTTCGCCCATTGGGGCCGTCGCTCTGCGTTCGCATTAGCGATCAAAAAAACGTCCCCGTAGAGCGAATTCATCGTTGTGTGAGGCACTCATTGTGCGAGTCACCACTGTATTTCATATTACATATTACACTTTTATTTTTACTGGCGTATTCATTAATTAAAGAAAACATGTATTCTTGAAGGCTTT